TCACCTAATTCAGTAACTCCTCTCCATCTTTCTAACAATTTCAGTTTGAACTCCTTGTTCTAACAAAAGTCCAGTTCATTTCATTGATATCCTACGCAAGAGTGAGATTCCAGATTTAAGTAATTGAGAATATCCTGCATACTGACTGTAACTTCAGACAATGCAGAAGATCCTCTAAATTCCTGTTGGGACACATGGCACTGTTGGTACCAAAACCACATTAACTGCTATTCCATGACTTTCAGCTTGCATTTTAATGAACTATAAAAGAATTGTGTTGTGCCTATAAACCTCATAACCAAGACCACTAGTTCAAAAGTGTGTAAAAGTGCTTTGGAGGATTTATTCCCCTCCCAAATGTTTATTCCTTTTCAGATGCCAGCTGAAGAATGAAATTGGTCTGGTTTTAAGCCTAAAAGACTAAGAGCTTATGGAATAAAAGGTCATGCCTTATATCATTTAGCAGGAGCTGGAGGCTAATTGTGAAGTTTATTAACAATGAAAACAATGGGGTTCTCAGAAACTTACTACCATGGAGGAGACTGATGTTATTTTTCTGAAGTTTGGATTCCACTGTGTTTTGTTCCATAACATGCAATTTAACTACCCCACTTTTGAAAATGGGAAATGACTGTATTGTTTCAAAGATCTGCTCACACTAAAATAAGAGTAATTTTAAGACCTCCCCTAGGGATTCAAGACTATACATTTAGCAACAGAAGGAGGAAAACAGCAGAACTGCCAGCTTGAGGAGAGAGATGATGAGGCATGCTTTCTCTGTAGTGTTTCCCACATTACAGATACAGTCAATGAAACTAGGTGTAATTCTAAAAACACTTTCCTCGACAGGGCTTAGGCAGATACCCACCTAAGTAAGAGTAAGCAGCTTTATGTTCCAGAGATCAATCTTATTCTAGATGCATGCTGATCCTGTCTTCTGATCAAGATATTTTTGTTTCAATAACCATTTTTCCCAAACCAAAAAGGTAACATTTCTCTTCATTTTTTATATTAGATATTTAATAGTTAATAAAATATAAACCTACTTATTATTCAAGTACATACAAAAGCTAATGGATGGCATTAGGAGATAAATTTGCAGAACAATACAGCTCAAACAGTGCAATATTGTTTGGTTTAGGAAAGCAAATATATATATGGATACCCACTAGATGCATATATAGATACTTGTGAAAGACCATCTATAGACACCCCCAGTAACACACAAAGGAGCTTTATGTGAGCCACACAAAATTTTACTACTATAGTGAGGAGCCCAGTAGGAGGAAGAAGGTAATTTGTTGCTCAATCACTTTTTAGTAACAATTACCCTCTATGTGTTTGATTCAGTCTTGTACTTGAAATGCTCTTTTTGTAACTGCTATTCCATTCAATTCCATTCATTGATGGACGTCTTCCCCTACTAGTGTACAGAAATAGTTGAAAATAGCAGCAAAATTCAACATTGATGACATAGTCTTTCATTAATATACTTGATGAAGTTACTGTTTTGGACCAATAGTTCAGCTCTAAAAGAGGGAGCTAAGAGTGTAGCTCTTAGTTTTAGTCAGAAAAAAAGTCTCACAAAAATGATACTGATAATCAATGAACTTTGAAAATTAATGCTAAGACCTTCCTTTATATATGAGTAAGTGATTCCTAAATTTCATCATGATTTCTTAACCTATCAGTTATAAACATTTCTCATGGAGCTTTAACACAAAACTCTCAACAATACAAAGCGCAAGCGTGCCCCTCTCATGTACCATACTCCATGATCTGCAACCTATTCTGCTGTGGCTATTACATGAAATACTGTATACATGAATACATTTCAGGACAGACAGCTGAATTCAGCTATAATTGGAAGCTTGAGGAATTCCTCCATTCAGTTCTTTGGCTAAAAGAAATTTTACGGAGAGACAACCAAATTACAAGGAACCGAAATGTTCATACAAGCTTGTAAATTTCAGCATTGTGTTTTACTTTTAAAAGGAAACATTATTATTTAATGCCTTTGAGCTACAGTAGTATCCTCTAAGAACTGACCTGGCTCACATCACTGAAACAAACCAAAAAATTCAACAAGACTGAACAGATTTTACTTATCAATCAGGAAAGTGGATTAAACAAGACAGAACAAGAGGAAATAAATAATCTCCATATTTTATAATGTTCAACAGGTATTATCTGTATTTTATTTAAAGACAAGAAAGAATGAAAAGTAAATTTGTTTTCCAACCATCCTAAGCAATTTTTTCCAGTGACATTTCATTCCATTGTATGTACATTACTTCTTTCCTGAAGCCTACTTTGCATATTTATTCTTATCCTCATACAAAATCTTTGTTACATTTTCACCATTTACTCTGAAGTACAACTGCTGTAGGCACTTGTGCTGACACGCAGAGTTTTACAGCACAATACATACTTGCTGTTGCCAAGTCCTTTGCCTCAAATTTCCCATGCTTTTAGCCTTTGCTGTTCCCAGCAAAAAGAAAATTGAATTTTCAGCACTATCCAAACAATGTGAACACAGCAATGGCTGTTCTGGGGCAAATGAGAAGTTCATTTAGGCCAGGACCATGTCACTAGTAGTGATCAAAGCCAGTGACCTAGGGAAAAACCTCATATTAGGACAACTCTCAAATAATACAACAATCCCCTGGAACACTCTTCTGGCTCCCAGCAATGTGTGGCTCAGACTTAAATGTGAAAAGACTGGAAGCATTGGTACAGCATTTGTTTTCAGCAGGGCTGGAAAGAAGAGCAGAAGATACTTCAAAAAGGAGAAATACATGCCCTCATATACATGCCACTTCATTCTATCCAACACTGTTTCTTGCTCCTGATATTGCCTTTACCCTCAGAATTTGCTGTTTTCCACATGGAAGAGGTGGCGAAAATGAAAGGGTTTCCTTTCTTTCCTCAGAAAACCTCCTCCTGACTGGAGCTGGCCTCCTGTTCATATTCCACTTGACTAAACCAATCTTTTTCTCTTCCCACACTAGCTCCATCTGCCGCCCGTCTCTCCAGCAGAGCCAGATGCCAGCAAAGCAGACTGCTGTGGGAGGAGAAAGTTCTGTCGCTGGAATTTCATCCCTATACTCTGCAGGGGGCCAGCCTGCGAAGCATGGGGAGGATATAGAGAGCAACTTCCTCTCTTCCACGCTCCTTCCCCTGCTCATCAGCAAAGAAGGCAGCTGAGGACATGAGCAGAAGGATAAAACACCAATGTGTGCTCCTAAATATGCAGTTTTAATATTCATATAGCAGAAGTCTCACAGTTGTACTCCAGACTCGAGCATGGTACACATCAGATAAACATGTGAGAAGACATGAGTCCTGCTCCAAAGACCTTACAGTCCAACAGAAGCAGAGATGCGCATTTGTGATAAGGATCAAAAGAGTGACTAGAGCACAGATGACAGAGAAAAAAGACTCAGATTTCTAATCAGGAGAGATTTTAATGATGGAGTAAAAAGACAGTACTTTCTGGAGAGATGGAAGTCAAAGAAAGAATCAATGGATGAGTGCTGTTAAGCTGAGAGAATTGCAGAGGCAACTGCCTGAAGAAAAGGAAAGGGCAGGATGAAAACAGACTTAGAGAAGGAAAATGTGGGTTCTTTATACACTTGACATGATCTTGCATGAAACAGAGGGAGAAGACATACAGGTAAGAACTTCAGATAAACAGTCTAGTAACAGAGGAGGATCTATCTGCATGAGCAATCTTGTCAGAGAAAGGAGCAAGAATGTGTGTCACTGAGTGAGAACCAGAGCTGATATAAAATAAGCAAGTGTGCATATGTGTGAGACAGGGACACAGACTTCGTTTTTCTGGGAGGAAGATGCATGGGAACCCAGGAGACTAAAGAGACTATAAAACAAAAAAGGCTGGTGTATGGGTGCAGCAGAAAGTTTTGAGTGGGGTTGGCAGGACAGAAGAAAGTGAAGGTACAGAGTGACCTAACAGAATACTAGAATTACAAGTAAGAATCTGAAAGAACACAGATAAATTACAGAGACATAGCAAGAAAAATCAATAAGTTGAATTGACAAGGAAAAGAAGGAAATAGACATATCACATTGCAGTAGAGTAAGGGATCATAGCAGAAGAAATGGAATGACAGGACAGAGAAAAAGGAGGAAAGAACATATGCAAAGATGATAAAAGTCAGTAAAGAAACATTAGTTACGTGAAAGCACTATGCAAAAACTCCTAATGGGAAAACTGGGTGTGTAGACAAGGGCGACTGGAAATGGGTGGTCACTGTAAGTGTAAACTCTTAGGGTTTGCCCCATCTTGGTATACCCACATTTTAATCTTCATTTTCTCTCAGACAAAATGCTGTTTCCTTGTCCTCCACACCCCCTAACTTCCGAGCTGTAGTTGCACCTTTATGCCATTTGTTTCACTATTTCTAGTGGCAACTATTTCTCTGACGTCTACATGGGAAAAAGCTCTTATTTTTTTTAGATACTCTACAACAAAGAAACGTGCCAAAAATCTCAAGTTTCCTTCCTTCTGTCCCCATAACGCTCTTTCATTCATTCTTCTTGGAAAAAAATCCAACCCGAACCAAACCAAACCAAAAAAGGCTGAGAAAACTCAGCAATACGGTGGTATCTTAAGTCCAAGACATTCAGGGAACCTTTCCTGAGCTGCATGTACATTCTGCGCCCCAGGTTTCCTCCGTGCCCGGGTGAGGGTTCCCCGTCTCCCGCGGGCTGCGCTCCAGCGCCCGGCATCGCGCAGCCGGGATAACGGGATCTCCGGCTGAAACGCATCCATCAGGCGGGGCAGCGCGGGGAGGGGAGCTAGCTACCGGCGGCTGGAAGGAAAGCCTACACAGACGTATGCCCTGGCTGCTGGAAGACATGGCTGGCTGGCTATTTGATTTGATTTGATTTGATTTGAGGGACATAAAAAAAAAGGGAAGGGAGGAAAGGGAGAGGGGGAAGCACACACGCTCGCACACGCATCCGGCTGATCTTACCTCCACATTGAAATACTGCTCCGCTTTGCACACTGTAGCACATAAAATCCAAATGAAGGTTTGCAAGAAAAACACCCTGGATTGAGAAACGAAATCCAACCGGCTTCCAGTGCTGGATGCGAGTACGATCATAGTGAACTGTGCTTCAGCGGGTGGAAGACCTCTCTTTCTCTCTCTTTGCCTTAAACAAATGCACAAAACAAACCAGCCTCCTCCGTGTCGGTGAAGAGCCCGTAGCGCAGGTTCACCCACAGCCGGGGAGGAGGAGGAAGAGAAGGAGGAGGAGGAGCAGACACTTCACAGCACAGGCGGCGGCGCGGCAGGGTCAGCTCTCGCTCATCCTCACCACCAGCCCCGTACAGAGGGAATGTGGCGTCCGAGTACAGCCGCTGCTCCTGCACGACTCCTTTCTGCCCAGCAGCAGCAGCCGCCTCCCCGTGTCCTCCCTCCGCTCCCGCCTCCTCCGCCTCCTCCACCTCTCCTCCTTCTCTCCTGCCTCCTCCCCTTCAGCCTCCGCCTCCTCCCGGGGAAGGCGGGCCGGCTCGGCTTGGCTCGGCTCGGCTGGGCTTGGCTCGGCTCGGCTCTCTGCCGTGGCCCGGCGTGGCCCGGCCCGGCTCGCCTCGGCTCGCTGCCCTGCCCTGGCTCGCCTCGCCCCTCGCCGCTCCCCTCCACTCCAGAACGTTCAGCCGAAACCTTCATGGCCCCGCCCCGGAGGCGGCCTAGAGGCGACGGCCCCACCAGGCGGCCCCGGCGCGCCAGCGCCGCCCGGCCGCGCTTGGCGGGCCGCGGCCCGGAGCCTCGGTGGGCGGCTGTTGGGGACCGGCGGCCCGGGAGCGGCCCGCGGCCTTTCCCCTCGGTCCCGTCCCCAGGAGCCGAACGGGTGCCGGAGCCTCCCTGGCCTCTTCACGGGAGGCGCCCGGCGCGGAGCGAGCGCCCCGAGCCGCCCGCGGTGCCCGTGCCCGGGAACGCCGCGCTCCCCTCCCCGCGGTGCTGCCTGGGTGATGAAATTGTGCTTAATGCGTCCGAAAGGGAAATCAGGGAAATCAGCGTGTGAAATACTATATCACAGGCTTAACTTCATGCTGGATATTATCATATTCAAAATGCCTTACGATTACGGCAGATGAACTACTCGTGCAGTGAATTAATAGTAAAGGGGACTTTTTATGGGGCCCTTTGATATGTCATCCAGTATAAGGAAGGTGAGATGATTCATAATCAGTGGACATGATATTACAATAATACATTTTGGGGGAGAAAAAGGGGAGGGGAAAAAAAACCTCAAAAACTCCCAAGTTTACTGACAAGAAAAAAAAAATTAAAATTGGAATCTTTTTTTTTCCGTTTGTTTATCAAAAAATACGCAAAGATACTTGATCATTATATGGGACAAACAGGAAGAGGAAGACGTATCCGATGTGAAATTTCCATAACCTGGTAGTTGAGCCCAATGGCTGAAATTAAAACACATGCAGACTACGTGTACGCAATTCTGACTGCACCTGGTAGCAGAATGTAGGACTGTATTAGGTTGCTCACCATTTCATATATTAAGAGTGAGGCAGTTATGTGAAGAAGTCGTGATCTGCCTAATCAAAAGTAATCCTGTTTAAGCAGAATTCCTTATGTGATATACTTTTTTCATATTAAGGCGTTTTCTGTTCTTCTTATCCTTAGTGATCTCAATTATGAAATTATGAAAAACAGAGCTGTCAGCAAGCTAAATGGACCTGTTGGCACTTTGGTGACAAATACGGGAAGTCAAATTAACGAAATGAATAATTAAGCACAAGTTAAATAAATGTCTTGGAAGAAGCAGGAGAAAACGTGATACTGACGCATGCAAATTATATTTGGGAAGAAAAATTAAAAAGTAAAATCAAAAGGATACTGGTAAAGTAACAGCACTTCAGAAAATAATCTGGGGGCTGTAATGTAAATATGAGTCAGCAATGTGTTACCATTAAAGAAAAAAGACAGCGTCACTGTGGAGTATTAATAGGTGTGCAGTACATCTGACAGGACAAATTACCTTTCTGCAAGGGGTTGATGAAGCCAACTGTGTTTGTTCTCAAACTGAAGACAGTCCAGAGGAAAATTACCAAATAGTAGGACATGTAGAAAGTTACAGATGGGTATAGAAGTTGGAAGAACGCTTAAGAAGATAGAAGTAAATGATCTCTTTATGTGGTAAGTGTCACTGTGAAAAGGACAAAAATATTTCATTTTTTTCAGCGGAAAAAAACCCCAATTATCTAAATTATTCATAATGTTCAGATTCAATGTTGGACAAAACTTTCTGAAGTGTTATGGTTTGTATACTGAAATATATATGTTTTTATATAGACTCAAACAATAATGTCCCAAATTTAGCATTTGGAACAAGATACCAACCTAGTGGAAGTGTGGAATCTCTTCCATATGTAGGTTTGATAGGCAAGATTATTATAGTTAACCTCTCTCATCTTAGGGAAGTGGATTGTATTATGAGATCTGGTAAACTTTTTCACTTCTAGCAAAAATAATTCAGTAATTTCTTTCCTTTTATTACTGGGAATTCATTACTGTAACTGTATGAAGGAAACACTAACTTTATACTGTCCCTATTGTTTTTCCTCTTTCCCAAAGGGGCCCTGTGTGTGTGCCCTCAGCAAACACTAGCTCTACGTTTGTTGGTCTATTTTGTACAGTCTGCCATTAGTGCAATGTCCAGAAATGGAAGCTGAAGTGAAAATAGGTAAGTTACTGTAATGGGAATTTCGTTTGTCTTCCCAGCCAGGACTGCTGTGGCCATTTATTGTGAAAGGTTCAGGGCCATAAATACAGCTATCTCTTTCCTTTATACTGTATCCATTGGAAGAAAGAAGAAAAGCAATGATATGAAGAGAGTGGTGGACAACAAAGGCACATTAATATTTCTTAAGCATGTTTGAGGAAGAGAGGGAAAGATCACACAGGTAGAGAGAGATCGGTAAGGAAAGAGAGTAGCAATGTATGAATAGGAGCACCAAGGGAGAGACAAGGCATATGAAGGACAGAGAAGATATTTGAAGTGAAAGATATCATTCAGGAATGCTTGTTTGAGTGAAGAGATGCCAGCAATGGTGGGAAAAGGCTTTGAATATTTATGAGTAAGCTGCGGGCAGAAACATACAAGAGGACAGTCAGAGCCTCATGAGACATGTAAGAAGGAAAAAGAAAATAGAAAAGAATTTAAATCTCCATACAGATCACTGTTTGTACTTATGTGTGTATGGGATTATGATTGAGATTAAAGAAAAGACAAAAAAAGCAACAAAGATGAAAGGGTAAGTAAACAAGTAAAGAAGGAAAAAAGCAAAATAATGAAATAGGAAAAAATGGGAAGTGTTTGTTGAAGTGCTTGTGTGATTCAAGTCATGTAGTTTATAAGCATCTTACAGATTTTTATCTTTATCAAATACCTTTATGATTTTTATATTGTTGCCTATGGCAGTTACCAGCAGTAATTAATAAGCAATAAGCTGGTTTGTATGGAAGCAAAATTTAAAAAGGGAAAGTTTTAGTTCTACAACTTTTAGCCTTTTTATAAAGGCAGGAAGAGATCTGTCTCTCTACTGTGTTACCAGTCAGCCCATATACCATCAGAGTTTCTTAGACTCTAGAATGTATCTTTTATGGATGACTGTAGTCACAGGTTTGCAATAGATAAATACCAGAATCTGACATAGACATGATATATTCTTATGTCCAGCTTTGAACACAAGACAAAAATTTTTCCTTGTTCTGTTTATCAATTATGAATAGAAATTCATATAATAAATAATAATATAAAAAAAAGAAAATACTTCATGTTGTCCTTTCTGTGCTTTGTGTTGCTTAGCTGCAGATAGTACCAGCTGGAACTTTTAAAAAAGAGAGCTTTGTTACAAGATGTAACAAACTGCAAAGAGTGAAGGTAGATATCACATATTTTAGACTGTTATATTTAGTTGTGGTTTGCAAAAAATTTTTTAAACACTTTGCCTTTTATTCATGGAATGAGATTTTCATAGATGTGTCCATATGAATTCTGTTTGGCTGTTTGAAAGGTCCTACAGGATGTGAAGGCAATGATCAAGTTTAACAGCGTAGGAGGAATTATTACATTGAATATATATTCCTGTCAGGATCACTTTCCTATTGCCTGTGTTCAGGTATCCGTTTAACCAAGGTTCACTGTAGGCATAAGGTTATCCTGTCAGGAAGTAGAACTGACTTACACTGTCAGTGCACTTTACTGTGTTTTCTTGCAGCTCCATCAACGGCTTTATAAAGAATCTAAGTAAAGATAACAACAAATGACAGTATAAAACCTCACACATAGTTATAGAATCACAAGGAAAATGCTTGGAGTCATAAAAATCAGTAATATTTATGAATGTTTTGATTCATGTGTGGTTGGGGTTTTTCACAAAGAGCCAGTAAAGTCAGAGAGGAAGAAAATCTGAAAGTGTAAGGTTTTCTTTTAAAGGAAGTTTTACATTGAATTTCTAATTCATAGAACCATAATATCATAGAATAATTTAGGTTCAATGAGACCTTTACAAGTCATGTCCAACTCTGTACAAAGCAGAGGGAATTCAGGTTACTCTGGTGCTTGCTCAGGGAGTTATGAATCAAGTTAGTGCAACTCAAGCATCATTTCCTCATCTGTGATGTAATTTCTTTGTCTCAGGGATTTCTCTACCTCAGCTATTTTGAGGGTAAAATCTCTTCTGTGAGGCATTTTTTAGGCTTTCAGTTATTTTTGTCTCTGTAGAGACAACACGCATGTCAACAAGTAAAGCAGTTATCTCCTAATCTCTTGAAGACAGGAGAGGTGGTGAAGAGAAATAGGAACAGAAAATACAATTCTGTAGCTGAATACTGAGAGAAATACATGTGAAAGAGAGAGAATATAGAGTGAGAAAGAGAAGTGGCCCCTATGGAGCCATGGAAGAAAATCATCATTAAGTATACAATAATTAAAAATATCTCTTTTTTGATGACATTTTTAGGAATGTGAGTTATTACTGGGTTAGTGAAGAAGAGGTAAAAAAATGCACTGAAGAAATCAAGTCCTTACTTGTTTAGTCTGTGAAACTGTTCACATGAAACTTTATTTTCTTTGCTTTATGACAGTTTTCATGCTTCTTTTTTCTCTCCCACTCTTGATGCCTTGTCTTCATGCTTTCTGATATTTTGCTTTCTTGCAGAGCAAGAAAGGCCCATTCAAGCATCAAGTCTATCAAAAACTACCCAAAATGTTTACAGCCAAAAACTTACAAGCAGTCCATCTTTCCTTTTGACTGTGCTGGTGATTATTCACTGATTATACGGTAGGGTCTGAA